CTCTCAGCATGCTCCCGCGCACTCTCCTCAGCATGCTCCCCGCGCACTCTCCTCAGCGTGCTCCCCACGCACTCTCCTCAGCATGCTCCCGCGCACTCTCCTCAGCATGCTCCCGCGCGCTCTCCTCAGCATGCTCCCGCACACTCTCCTCAGCATGCTCCCCGCGCACTCTCCTCAGCGTGCTCCCCGCGCACTCTCCTCAGCGTGCTCCCCACGCACTCAGCATGCTCCCCGCACACTCTCCTCAGCATGCTCCCGCGCACTCTCCTCAGCAGTGCTGCTTCGCCTCACTTCACCCTCCTTCGTGACGACGCCAGAGCACATAAGGCTGCCCATCGTCACCCTTCTTGGTGCTGCTCTGTGTTCCCCTGGAGAACCCAGGACCATGAGGCAGGTGCCATCCGCGGGGGCTGCGCACGTGGCTTCCGGCCTCTCCCAAGGGGAGCGGCAAGGCCGGCACATCTTTGCACAGAGTGATTCTACCTGCATAAGTGCTGAGAAGGGGACTTGCTAGCGTGGAGGGCAACGACTTCAGTGGCCAATCGGTCACCCACACAAGTTACGTCTACTTGCACCCCGACCTGACAGGCACCCTGCCCAGAAACAAGGGGACTCCCATGGTGACAGCCCCGAGGGGTAGCGCCCCGAGAGGGGTGGTCATCGCCTGTGTCCTTCTTCCCAAGTCTATCCGACCGCCTGGCCACGCAGACTACAGAGGAGCACTGGCTATGGCAGTCGCCGGGACACACTGCTGGACCGATGAAAGGACTTTGACCTCTTCAGAGAGAACACGAAGATCGCAGGCGTGTGCTTTTGTAAGTCTTCGTATTTCACTACTACAGATATTCATTTCATTCTGACATTTTTGGTAGGACTCGTTGACAGGACTGTTGCTTATTTGTACGGCTCTTGAGTAAATCTATGAAGCGCGTGGATGTGGTAGACGTTCCGTGTTTGGTCCCTGCGGGTGGACTTGTAGGTCCACAGCCCGCCGGCAGCAGGAATGGATCACTCGGTGCACGGACATAATCTCCGCGGAGAGAAGGAGCGCGCATGGACCGCTCGTGTGCACTCGTCGGTGCGGATGGAGCTGCTCCTGGCGGCCAGACTTGGATGAGTGCAGAGAACGACGGAAGAGGCTGCAAAGTCCGCGCAGAAATGGCTGACGAACTTGGAAGTGCTTCTATTATTTCCTAAGATAGCATAAAAGTTCCGCAACTTTAAGAAACAAATTTACTCTCTCATAGTTCTGGAGGGAAGGAGCCCAAAATCGATGTGTAGGCGGGCTCCAGCGAAGGCTGCAGGGAAACTCCTCCACAGCCCTTCCCACCTCCTAGTGCGGTTTGCAGGGCTGCACAGCACAGTCCCTGCCACCACCACCCCCCGTGGCCACTTGCCCACTGCATGCCTGTGCCTGTCCACAGCTCGGTCGCAGCAAGTGGCATTTCCATAATCCAGTATAGCCTCACCTCAACTTAGTCACTTCTGCAAGGGCTCTTTTTCTACAGGAGGTGGCATTTGTATCGACCAAGCGTGAGAACTGCAACATAGTTTGGGGGAGTTGAGGAGACAGGATTCAGCCTGAAATAGCACTTGGCAAGCAAAAGACAGACAGAGCACCTGCAGCAGCCAGAACCCCCTTAGCTGATCAGGGTCATCATGATGCTGTTGCCGACCTCGCTCGAGTTCAGGCCAATGGGAATGGGGTGGCGCAGCGTTCAAGGTTACAGCCCTGCCACTGCCCAGCGGGACAGGGTGTAGTTCCAGAAGCTTCTTTCTCCAAGTTGGGGGATGTCAGGCGTAATGGGGTGGGGGAGTGGCCAGGTAGCTCAGTCGATTAAAGTGCCTGCTTAAGGGAATGCAGGCCCTGGGCTTCGATCCCTTGTGTGTCGTGCTGTGCTGGCTCTGCCCCTGCGGCGCTCTGAGACGGCGAATGAGACTGGGCATGGTGGCGCCCGCCTATAATCCCAGCTCTTGGGAGGCTGAAAGCAGGAGGATCACTACGAGTCACAGCTACATAGTAAGACCCTGTAGACCCTGTACTAAATACTTACAAAGAAAGAAAAAAGGGGCAGGGTGAGTAATGCAGGACCTTGTGCACCCAGGGCGGAGAGGGTCTCCTTGGAAGGGGCACAGGGATAGAGCCAACAACATATTTCCCTACAGCATGAAGCGGCTCCGCCCCACCACCCTCCAGCCCACTACCCCTGTTCCAGGAAAGACCCCACCCAGCCTGCTGCTACCCTCAGAAGAGGTGGCAGGAGCTCAAATGCACTCGTAGGTCTGCTCAGCTTCTGCCCTTCAGGGATGTTGACTTCGACCTCCTCTCCTCTAGGCTCACTGCCAGCTAGGAACAAAATTCTCAAAACCTATCTCTACGCCTTCGCTTGCTACCAGGCCTCCCCTTTCCAGCACCAGTGTGTCCTCTGGGATATCATCATGTTGTCTGTTAACACTACTTTAAAGTGTCCTAATAGATTCAGGATTGGAAGCTTCACCTGGAGCCTGTATTTTCCTCCCACTGACATGAAAATCTATAACTGATGTTTTATCTGGCAGCAGATGAAAAAACATTTTTTTAAAAAAGTTTCTGCATCAAGAGCTGTTTCTGCGCTAACCAGTGAAGTTTTTTCAGTCTGTCTGCAGCTGCACACAGCTGGTTCCCTCCCTCACTACTCTGGGGTCGCACCCCTCCCCCCAGCTGAGAAAATCTGCTTTCAGAAAAGCGCCTGATCATATGACCAGCTCATGTGCCCAGCCTCAGTAATAGCTGACAAATGCTACAAGGAAGTGAGCGGAATGTGGCGGAAAGCACATCTGAATAGGACGCCCCGCTGGGCTTGTCTGGATCCTCCTACCACCTGGCATAGGAGGAGAATGCGCCCAGCCTTTCAGGCAGGCACGCCCAAGTTGAACCCTGGCTCTGTCTCTCCCCAGCTGTGTAACTGCAGCAGAAGTTGCCCTGCCCCCCAGTATTCAGTCTGTTGGTTGCCCAGGTAACAGTTCCTGTTACTTTTGTCTGTTAGAAATGGCTGGTCCCTGTGATACACAGCTCATCACGAGGATGCACATCGTCTAAACCAACTGGCAAGTCATTCTGCCTCTGTGGTTCCTGCTTGCTTATAAGCCCGCGGCCAGTAGAGGCCAGGGCCTGAGATTCTGGGAACGATCCCAACCCATGCCCACTGACATAAATAAAGCTGCCTCCAAACCCTGGGGGTCGTTTTGGTGTTTCTGCTTGCCATTGCATAACCAGACAGAAAACTTACTTGGTGCTCCTAAATTTCCTTTTCTTTAAAGTGGATACTGTAAAATTTGCCAGGTTATTTTGAGGATTATTTGTCTTAGTACCTGACATAGTGAAAGGTACCAAGGGACAATCAGAGTAGTTTGTTAATAGAAGAGGGTTGGGGACACCACAATGCCCCATCCCCACAGTACTGCAGATTAACTCAAGCATTCGTGGCAGGCAAGCGCTCTACCACTGGCTACATCCTCGGCTCTAGGACACACTACTCTTTAAGAGAGGGCTCTTGCCTTTTTGCCCAGCCATGTCTGTTCCTTTTGCAAGAAACACCAAGCAGCGTTGGTGGTTCTCCTAGCCAGTGACAGTACTTCCTGCAACCTGCTGGTTCTGAGCTTGCTCATAGCCGCACCTCGAGAGGCACAGAGGCCTTGCTGGCAGGGCTGTCTGAGCTGTCCTTGGAAACTGTGTCAACCCCAGCCAAGAAACAGGCTCATCCCTGACCCACAGCCACACGGGTAGGGGGAGGGTTTCCCTGGAGTGCCACCACCATTTCCTGAGCCTGAAGGCTGAATCAGCAGCAGGCAGAAACCTGGGGACAGAAGGGAGACAAGAAAACCCCACTGCACTGGCTCTGTCACTTCTCTGTGAGCAGATTCTCTTACCCAGAGAGCCAACTTGCCAAGGATAGAGCTAAGCTTTTCCCCACTTCCTGGCCGGCCCTTCCATGGGTCTGGGCCAGGCTAAAAGAAGTGGTTTTTTTCAGGATTATCTAGTTAGCTTTCCATCCATCAGTTCGGTCATTTATTTATCACTGTAGAGAAGAAAGGAGAGAACAGGGAATGGAAAAAGGAATTGAGATGTGTTGTGTGTCTGAGCCAGTTGTACACAAGGACCATAAACATTGTTTTTATTTTTTATTTTTTGGCCAGCTCATCCCACCCTGAGAGCAGGGCTGGCACAGCATGTGGTGCCAGGGATTGAACCACAGTTCCCTGTACCTGCCTAAACTTGCCTAAGCAGGTGCTTTAGACAGCTGAGCTAGCTCACTGGCCCCAGGAGTATGAGCATTATGTACTACAAACATGTATTAAAACTAAAACTCATGGTCAACTTTGGCTGAGTTCTTTCTACTTGCCAAGCAATGTGCTAAGCATTCCCCATGTTATCTAATTTCATTACTCCAACAACCCTGCAGGGTAGGAATGATTTCTAGCATACCCTACAAATGAGGAGGCTGGGGTGTAGCTGTCTCTCTCATGGGTGGAAGCAGGATGACCAGGTTGCCCGGTCTGGGCCGGGCAGATACTAAGTGGTACAGGAGCTAGACTGGCTTAGTTACTTTTCTTACCGCTGAAGAAAAATACCTGGCACTAACACAAAAGGAGGAAAGGTTATTGGGGCTCAGGGCTTGCTGAGGTTTCAGTTCATAGCTGGCTCCGAAGCAGGGCGGCACAGCAGAGGGGAAATGGCCCGTGGCAGGCAGAAGGCAGCAGAAGCAGAGGCAGCAAGTGAAAACAGCAGCTGCCTTTCTGTCCCTGACAGTCTACCCAGGCTACCTACTCCGGAGTGGGTAGAACCCAGACCCGGGGTGGGGGAGCCTTAATCCTAGCATCACACCTGAATCAATCCCAGCATCACACCCTTAATCCCAGGGTCACACACTCTAGATCCAGCCACCCTTGAAAAGCTCCACTGATGACCACATGAGGCTTTGGGTGGATTTCTAGATATAAAACCTAATGCATACAACGATAGTGTTTGCCCTTAGGTGGGCACGTAAGACATAGCACAATGGAGCAGCCAGATGGGGCAGCGTGAGGCTGAGGACTGAAATAAATGCAACTGAACAAGGAAATTAGCATGGACTGAACCTGGAGAGGAAGAGCTTCCAGGCTGGAGTGGGCTTGCTGAGTGGTGCGTTCAGAAGCCTGAGGGGTGGGGAGGGGCGAGTGGGAGCAGTCCTGTGTGGGGTTGGCGGGTAGAGAGAGGACAGGCCCACAGGGCAGGATGCAGCAGCAAGACCCACAGAAGTAAGTTTGGACTGTTCTACCCAACAGCCCATGGGAAACAATTCAGCACTTTTTGATGAGTGTGACATAGTCAAAACTGCACCTTGAGAGGCGTAAGGGGTATGAGGGAGAAGCAGAAATCCAGAAAATTGGTTAGGACACCCCTCGAGCAGCGTAGGACTGGCCTGAAATTGTGAACTAAGGGAATAACAATGTAAACAGCCAGGAAGAAAATGAGGGTGGGGATGAGGTATTTCAAAGGAAGAGCCAGCGGGCCTTAGTGACTGGCTGGCTCCACATGAAGAGGAAGAGGGTGGAATTGAAGAAGCACATGCTTAGGGTGAAGCCTGGTGAAGGAAGGAAAATGGTGAAAGCACCTCCTTGTTCTTGTCTCACTAATCTAAATTGGGGGGGGGGGAGGAGGAATAGACTTTTAGGCATTTTAAATGTGACCATTGGAGATATCTGGGTAGAAAGCTCAACTGGACAAGGTGTTTGTGATTGTGCTTGGAGGAGGAATTAGGGCTGCAGAATAAGAGCTCCTGTCACCCGATGAGCAAACGTGCCACTGTCCTGTCCAGCGTGGATGCACGGGGCAGTGGGTGGTGCCACGAGGGCAGCTCCCCGTGGGTGGCTTGCACTTCTGTACATTTTCTGAGGCGCTTACGGGGCTTCATTCTAAATATTCCAGAATACTCATATAATAAATAGCCTTGGAGCCAGGCATGGTGGTACGTGCCTGTAATCCCAGTACTCTGGGAAGCTGAGGCAGAAAGACTGGAAGTTTGAACCCAGCATAGGCAACTTAGTTACTGGGTGAGACCTTGTCTCAAACAAAGATTAAAAAGCATGGAGGTCTTGGGTTCAAGCTCTGATACTAATACATGAATAGCCTTGGAGGAAAGAGTGTACTTTCATCTAGGAACAAAGTGGGCCGTGCTTACTGTTCAGTATAATAAGCTCTGCCTTTGGAGCAAAAAGCAGGCACACCTCCTGGTCATGCCAGAAGATTTAGGTTCCCCAAGCCCAGAGTTCCTCCGCTACACCAGCATCTGCAGACCTGCAGCTGGGCACACTGCTCCCATGGGACTGGGGGCCGAGGGGACCTCCACCACCACTCGTGCTACTTGCTGAGCAGTGAGCAATAACGTCCCTTGTCTCTGACCCCAGATCTCACACCTTCAGCTAGCATTATTGAGGCTGAGTCCAGGTAATTTGTTGGCTTATGAGTGTGGCAAATTTCTAGCTTTAAGATGCAGCCGAGTTCTTAACAGCTAGGAGAGGAGCTGGGAGAGAACAGACAATTTAGCTAGAGTTCAGGTCTCAGGTGACACTATTCAGTGCTGGACAATTATGAGAGTGGGAAAATGTAGGCAGATAGAGACTGGACCTGTGTGCTGGGGAGCCTATCATGAAGGCTGCCTAGCCTGTACCCCATTCTAAGAGAAACTACCCTATCTCTGGCTCCTCTGATGAGGAAAGAGTTTTAAAAATGATATTCTTCAGTAGAGGACCTGTCAACTTCACTGGCTGACAGAATCTCTTTGGTCAAAGAGCCAGGTGTGATGGACCCTGCTAATCGCCTGCTTCTGCAGTGTGTCCCCCCACCCCATGGCCGGGAGGAGCATGTTGGGCCTTTAAGTCTCAGAAGCAGATGGCAAGAATGGCGTTGCAGCAAGGGCAGGCGGCAGGGAATCTGGCCCAGTGTGGGCTGGAGGCTGTGCCCTTTGAATGCGGCCTTGGGGAAGGAGTGCAGACCCGGAGGCTGCGAAGCAGAGCGGCTCTGGGGCACGGCCGTCCTCAGAGGGCAGGCCCTGCTGCGCCCCACGCTAGCACAGTCTTGCTTGCGCTCTAATGGATAAGCATGCATTCGGTCAGGTCAGTCTACCCGGCGCTCACTAAGCCCTTCTGTCTGCTGGACTAGAGGAGCTGTGGAGAAGCGACGGACGACCCCTGGTCCTAACCTCAAGGATCCGAGGGGTGGTCCTGCTGTGGGAGCTAAACCCACGCATGGATAAGACAGGGAACAACACCTACAGTAACGAATGCACGTGCACATTCAGGTCCCAAGAGGAACCCTATGATGAGTTGCTGCTGATTTTGTATCTGGTTGTCAGAGCTCCAGGCCCCCCAAACGTGCCACCCGGGGGCCCTGCCAGCCTTGCCAACACCAACTTCTGGGGCTGCAGCCCCTGGCCCCACCCTTCATGCCTCCCAGAGCCCCAGAGTTCCTGAATGCAGCCCCCAGAAGGTTCACGAGCCATCTGTGCCTCTCCTCTGGGGAAAGGCGTCCCTCAAGATCACAACCTCCTCCTCCAACCTGCCTTGCACCTAGGGTGTCCTCCATTGGCCCTGGCCTCTGCCATGGCCACTCCCTGGGCCTCTGACCTCTGTCTCACTGCAGGGACCTGCCCTCCCCCAGGTGTTCCCAACACAAAAAGCAGTATCTGGGAGAAAGAGGGGAACCAGAAAAGCTTGGTAAACTAGCCCAGGAGGAGATGCTGCTGCTGCTCCCGAGCTCAGTGTCCCCATGGTGGTTGACCACAGGAAGTACCACAGAATAAAACTACATGGCCTCAGAGACAACTTTAAGAAGTTGCTGTCAGGCTGAACTAGGCGAAACTGCAAGCACGTGTCCGTCTTTGGCACAAAAAAGCAGCAATTGCTCTTAGTTCTACCCAGTGCATTTAAACCAGGTCAGTCTGACTTACGGGCCAGTGTTTCCCGTGGGAGGAAAGGCCAGTCCCAGCTGGCTGAGACAGGGACAACAGAGCCTGGGAAGGGGGAAGCCAGACAGGGTGCAGGGGGTCTGCAGGGGAGGGAAGGGGGCATGGAGCTGAGGGTCAAGGCCATGCTGGGAGCCGCAGGGCAGCTTCAGCAGGAGAACCGCTCACTGCACTGCGGAGGGAGCTGTGCACAGCCGATTCCGCTTCTTTCTTTCCTCTTCCTCTTGTTCTTCGTCTCCTCCTCTTCCTGTTCCTCCTCCTCCTCCTCCTTCTCCTTTTCCTCCACCTCGTCCTCCTCGTCCTCGTCCTCGTCCTCCTCCTCCTCCTGCTTCTTCTTCTTAAATTGGGCCTTAGGAATGTATCCCAGGGCCTTTACATTGAGTCACATCAAAGCTCTTTTTTTTGAGACAGGGTCTTGCTACACAGTTCAGGCTATCCTGTAGCTCACTTTGTAGCCCAGGCTGGTCTTGAACTGATACCAATCCTCCTGCCTCAGCCTGTTAAGTGCTGGGATTACAGACATACACCACCACACCCAAATATTGCTGCTTTTCTCGCAGGCCATATTTTACAACCATAGTCCAAATCAACATATTTGTTTGCTTTCCTCTTCCTCCATTAAAACTAACCCAAAGGGAAGGACTGCATTTCTTAAGGGAGATGAGAAAGGCAAGGAGGAGAAAGGAGGAAAGCAGGAAGGAAAGAGAAGAAGAAGGAAGAAAAGCAGGTTGTGGAGGAGGGAGAAAATGAAAGAGAGAAAGGAAGAACAAGCATAGTTTTCTCATTAAGATTTAAAAAAAAAAACACCTTTATGCTGTCCCTACAAACAGAAAACTCTCTTTATTTAATAATGTCTTAGTTTAAGAAATGGCAGCTTTTGTAAAATAGTTCTAAAAAGAGGGAAGAGTTTTCATAATTGGGGATAATAGAGAGTAGTTGCCAGGAACGTCAGTAGAAAACCCCAGGCAACTTTCTTTCCTGAAGCCTAAGGAAAGCAAAAAGCTTCTAGTCCCCTTACGGCAGTACAAGCAGTCATAATTAATGTAACTTACAAAGCAATGATTATCAAAGGGACATGTCACCAAGTCCCATAGCCCCAGTTCATTGATCTAATTTAGCTAATAACCACTTTCCATTTGCATGCAGGGGGAAAAAAAACCAAATCCATTTGCCGAGGGCCCGGCCCCTTGGAGGCACTCAGCACGCGGCTGGTCAGGGCTGGAATCAGTGTATCCATCTGTCTTCTATGGCAGGACAAGAGGACGACAACCAACAGTAGACACCCGCAATTCCAGCTCAGAAGCTGTACCTGGAAGCTGAGCCACTCCTTTGGGCTTTTCCCCTATTGTCTGACTTTTAATTTGCATCTCATTTACATATTCGTATGTAAGAGAAACCCAGTCTGTAAAGACCAAGCCATTTCAAAGCAGAGACATAAGCACAAATGAGAGGGGTTTGTGCTTCCCATCCCCTCCCACCCCACCCTGAGTGTCCACCCACTCCAGGCCACTCATCCTGTCGTCAGACGCAAATGCCAGGCACCTGTTCTCTGGTTTCCTTCCATGAGATCCTCGGTGTCTCTCCCACCTGGCTGTGAGAGGGTCCTGTCTCTCCTGCGGGTCAAGTGCAGCGCTGAGCGGGACCAGATCAGCCAGCGGCCCCTCCTGCCTTCACCAGACCCAGGACCAAGGGACTGCAGGCGAGTGCTAGGAGGAAGCGTTACTCTTTTCCCTCCTGGCCAGCCTAATTTCACCCATTCTTGTTCCCTCCGTCTCAGACCCAAGCAAAATTCCTTCTAGAGCAGAAGGGAAAATCTTGGTTTACAAACAAAATCTACAGTCTGGAGGAGGACTCCAAAGCCAGGCCGCTACTGGGTCCCCTGGCTACGAGGGTGGCCCAACCCGAGGCTGTCACTAGCATGGTGAAGGGCTTTCAGGACTGGCCCCTCCTTGGGAGACCCAGGGGTGAGGCCCCCGGGCGTCCCTGGCTGAGTCCTGTTGGGCACCAAGAATAGGGGTTCAGACCATCTGTCTGCTGACAACAACCTGTGGCCACACTACGGTCACTCTCTTCCCATCTGCTCCTGGCTGAGATGCCTGGTGAGACCCAGCTGCCCAGGGCTGCCCTGGGGACACGGCCCACTCCCTGCTGCCCATTGTATGCGGGGCTGGAGGGCCTGAGGAAATGGGCTGAATCTTGCCTAATTTTCTGTTTCTTTTTTTAAAAACAGTTTTAGCCCATGCCCTCATTTAAACAGTATAAAAGACTGTAGCAGTATAAAAGGAAGATGACCTAGGACCTCGGCTTGCGCATTCTCTGACAGCAAGCAGAAAGGGCTGACTTTGGATGCGCTGTTTGCTTCTGCATTTGGGTTTGTGCCAGCTGGTCTCCCTGCAAGCGTTCAAGTATCTGTTGGGCAGAATCAAGTCGGGAGGCTTAGGTGCCATTCTCTTTGTCCCTCTTCCCCTCTGGTCTCTTCCAGGGGTGCTGTCACTGCGGGACAGGTGCGTCCGGCTTGGAGCCCACGGCCACGCCCCTCCACCCCAGAGGCCTGCGCAGAGCCCAGGGTCGCCTTTCCTCTCCCTTTCAGCAAGAGGAAATCAAGAATGTGGGCGGAGCCGGGCCTGGTCCTGCATGGCTCACTGGGGTCTCTCTGCACTGTCCTCCCTAGATTTTGGAAGCACCAAGGGGAATGTGGCCTGAATTTAAACACTCAGGGCCGCGCCCACGAACAGTGAGCACTTTTGTGGATTCATGCTGCCCTCCTGCCTTCCTCGCCGTGGCCTTGAATGCTGCGTTGTGTGCGGACAATCCGCTTGTTGTGCTCCCGAGCAGGCTGAGCCCCGCGCTCCCGCTGCCTCTTATAGGAGCAAACAAAAGCCGTTTTCTTCGTTCTGAGCACTGCACTGATAAAAGACTGATGAAAGCCTCTTTTGTGGTGAAATGTAATAGGTCTGCGCTGGGCATTCTATTTGATTAACCCCAACCAGTCATTACACGGTGTTTTATGCACAGTACAGAGATGCCCGGCCGCTCGGGCTGGGTGGAGCCTCTTTGAACTCCTGTGTGACTCTGGGACACTGCGGGGCAGGCTGTCCTCAGCTGGTGAGAGGCAGTGAACTTGGGCCTCACTTTCCAGCATGCCCTCCAAGGCCTCCCTGTCGATCCCTCCACTAGCTTCCTTTCTCAGGCCCCTGGTGTTTTCAGATTACTGGGTCCTTCGGGTGGGGGACACTGATAAAGTGGCACACATGGGAGCTCAGTGGGCCGCCCCTTCCCAGTGTAGCCAGGGAACAATGAATGGAAGCTGGCTCAGCCCACAGGGCCGCACCCCAGGGTGGCATCCGAGCCTGTCTGGTCCTCAGCTCAGACCTTGCAGGGCCAGCCCTGGTCTGTTGGGAGAGATTATAGAGACTGGCCTGATCCTAGGAGACCCCAAGCCACACTCCTGCCTGTGTTCCTTGGCTGCATGTCACCCGTCTCAGTGACAGGAGGCCAGGCGCAAGCGGCCATCTCTCCGCCTTGTGCTCTGCCTCCCCCGCTTGGCCTACTCAGGGTATAGGCCTTCTGCAGATGGGCCCCCCTTCGACCAGGACAGCGCTGCCTCTGCTCCCCTCTGCTCCTCCCTCACAGACATGATATGGTCCTCCCCAATGTCTCCCTGGTTTCCAAGTGTTCCTCACTGCCTTGCTCCCGCCCCTGCCATCCTTCACCTCTTGCCAGATGTCCCCAAGGCCAGCCTGAGTCTGACCCATGACCTGCCACCCGTCCCTGTGGATTCCCTCTGGTTGCTGCTAGCCAAGGGGTGCAATAGTTCCCAGTCCCAGCCTGGTCACCTCCCCTGAAATCAGCTTTCCCTTCCCCTCTGGGTCACCAGTATGCTGGAGCTGTGTCAGGAACGAGAAGTAGAACAGGCTGGTGTTCGGGAAATGTACCCGCTAGGTGAATGAACGGAACGCCCTTTAAAGTTCCACCCGGTGCCAGGAGTGTTGGTGCCTACCTGTGGGCTTGGAAGACTGAGGCAGGAGGGCCGCTGAGTTCAAGGCCAGCCTGGGCGGCTCAGCGAGACCCTGCCACGCCCCCAGATTCCGCTCTGCCGCCACATGCCTCTTCCTGCCAGGCATCCTTGGGCTCTGTGCGCTTTTTCACCGAGCAGCGCCCTGCCTGGCCACTGTGCGCCGCCGCGGCATGTCTGCAGGCAGCAAGCCTTTAAGAAGCTGCTAACAGCAGCACCAGCTTTCTTTGGCAAATGTTTGCCTGGTTGCACTTTTCCTGTCCTTCTACTTCCAATCTTTTGATATCTCTCTGTTTCGGTTGTGTGTATTTAAAAAAGGATATGCCAGCTGGGCGTGGCGCAGACCTGTCATTCCAGCACTCTGGGAGGCCGAAGCGCGGTGACCGTAGGTAAAAGCCCAGTGTGGGCAACTCAGTCATGCAGCAAGATGCTGTCTCAAAATTTAAACAAATAAAAAATTTAAAAGGTACAGAGTCCTGGTACTACAGTCAGTGCAAAAGCCTTGGGTTCACTCCCTCTACGGGAAGGGGGAGGACTATCACTATATTTTATTCTATCATTCTATGACAATCTCTGCATCTTCATTAAACTGGACAAAGTAAACCATTTACTTAATTTGCAAAAACAGATACACTTGGAATTACGTTTATAATTTTTAATTTCTAATGTCGATGGGCATGATTGGATATACTCCTGGGAGGCGGGGGCTGTTTGGATACGGGCACACCATGGGCCGTGGTGAGCTGAGGGCGCGCAGGGAGGAACTTCGAACTTGATAAGATAAGAGGAGCCTCCCTGGTCTGCCTAGAGACAGGTCCTGCCGACAGCAGCCAGCTGTTGCCAGCCCCTGCCCCGGGATCTCAGCCACCAGCAAGGTGTCATGGGATAGGAGACTAGGGGTGACACCTGCTCAGTCAGATTTGGTCATGGCATCCCCTGTTCTTCCGGCCCATTCCTCTTTCTCCACATCATTCACTTTGGCAGACCCTCTCCTGCTGGAGTCAGGGATTGTAGGGACTGTAGGGACTCCTCGGCCTCTTGGTGTACTCTGAGGAGAAACCATGGCAGGAATGAGGAAAAGATAGACAAAAGATGAGGCTGAGGTCAGGTGGAGGCCCGTTTGCCTGATGGGCAAAGGACCTGAATAACAGTAGTAGGGGTACGTATTTATACTCCTGCAAAGTTCTATCATGAGACACAAGGTTGGCTAGTAATCAATGACTGAAATTGTCCAGGGAGGCTGATTTTTCAAGACTGAGGTAGCTTAACTGTTTCAGGTGCTGTGGCCTTGTCCTGCCCTCACACCTATGACCAATATCCAGCTTCAGCTGCTCCCAACAAAGATGGTACCCAAGCTTTTGAGCTCACCCGCCCCTGGGCTGTCCCTTAGGCCTTGTGCCCCTAGAGGCCTGCATGGTCTTCAGCACAGCACCACTGGGAGGTGGGGGAATCATTAAGGGTGGGGTGTGGTGGGAGGTCTTCAGGTCCCTGGGAGAGGCCCTTGAAGGGGATGATGAGACCCTGCTCCTTTCCTTTGTCTCTTTCCCTTCCAAACATGATCCAAAAGCTCTGCGTCAGCAAATATGCACACCATGAGCTGAAGCGAGCCTCTCTTCTTTATAAGCTGCTATCTTGGGTTTTTGGTTTTTGGGTTTGTATTAGTTACGTTTTTACTAGAGGAACAGATATAATACAAGGAACAGATACAACACAAGATGTACAAATGTACAAGGAACTACATGATTGGCTTGTGACAGTTAGCCACAGAGTCAGAAGAGGAAGCATGCACAGGGTGCCTGCACACCCGAGACGGAAGGACTGATCCCGAGGTCTGAAGCTCCCGAAGGATCCAAGCCAGAGGCACAAGAGTCTGTGCTGGAAGCCCAGAGATGAAGTGCAAGCTGACTGCGAAGACTGAAGTTCCTCTGAGGAAACAGAACACCGAATCTTTCCTCAAGCCCCTTATATCCCCTTTTTGTGCTGAGTCACTCTGGGGCAGCCCTCCATGCCCTAGGGTGGGGCCCCCACAGCCCAGGATGTGGAACCTCTGAGGCATCCAGCCAAGTTGATACAATGTGTCTACCACTAGAGGGTTTTTTTGCTTGTTTGTGCAGTGTGTGTGTGTGTGTGTGTGTGTGTGTGTGTGTGTGTGTGTTGAGACAGGATCTTCTCTGCAGTTTTGGCTGACCTTGAACTCACAGCGATCTTCCTGCCTCAGCCTCCCCAGTGCTGAGATTACAGGCATGCACCACGACATCTGATAGGTACTGTTACAGCAACAGGGATTGAACCCCGAGTCCCACACATGCTAGGTAAGTGCTCCACCACTGAGCTGTACCCTCAGCCCTTTTTATTTTATTTTGAGCTAGTGTCTAAGTTTCTCAGCAGAGCTTCATTTTGCAGCCCTCCTACCTCACCCTCCTGAGTAGTTGGGATCACAAATACATGCCAGCGTACTTAGCCTCTCCTGGGAGCTTTCAGTGTACCTTTCTACAAGCCGTTCTGGAGCGGCACGTGTGTCACATACAAGTAATCCCAGAACTCAGGAGGCTGAGGCTAGAAGATAACTGTGAGTTGAAGCCAGCGTGGTCTACACTGTAAATTCAAAAAGAAAAAAAAATCCAATAAATAAATTGGAAGAGGTTCTTGGAAGTGGTGGACAGAGCTTGCCCGACACAGTGGATGCCCATGACCATGCGAAAGGCCCCCACGCTGGCGGGCGGGACTGTGGAAAGTCGTTGAGAGCCTGCCACTGCCTAAGCTCCCGACCTGCTTCTCGCTGTTGCAGGCCCATGTGTGTCCACCCTGCAGTGGCTGAGGCCAGGAGCCACCCGCGTGGGGCGATCTGTGTGAGGCAGCGGCCTCCCAAGGAGGGAGGTTCCACTCCATGTCTCTATACAGCAAAGTGCGCATCACAGAGCAAGTGGTGTCATGGGATCGCTTCAGAGCCTCCCCACAGTGGGATTTAGGAAGTGAGTGATTCCAACTTCAGCTCAGAGGTTCTGAGATGAGCCCAAAACAGCTGCCACCATCACAAGCCTGGGACTGAGGGAAAGAGAGCTGGGTGGCTTGGCTGGGAACCCTGTGAGGCCGTGGAGAAAGCCTCGCACCGAAGACAGGAGGCAGAGCTGAGCTGTCAGCCAAGAGTGCACCCCGGTGCTTTTCTTTTGGTCCATTTGTAACTTAGCTGCCTGTCAAAGCCCATGGAAGAGCAAGCCAAGGCCCGGATGCTCAGGCTCTCCCTTAGAGATCCTAACACAACTGCCCTAAAGGGGACCCAGGAATTTGTGTTTGAAAGCATCTTCTGCAAATTTTTGGATTTGCAGCGAAGTTTGCATGAGGCTGTACTAGGTACTGAGGTTCCTCACTCTAAGGAAAGTGTCGATACAGCTTTGTTACAAGGCCCTTTTTACACATTTTTACTGTGTATTTAGATTTGACAGTGTGGTCAGTGGTCAGTTTAGCCCACTGCCCATGAACACGTTGATAACATCCATGAGGCTTTTCCAGAATTTGCAAGATCTAGACATAGAGTCAAGATGAAATGAATTTTCTGCAATAATGAATAACAATATTAGCAACATTTCCAGATTTTTTTATTTTTTTCATTTTTTGTCTTTTTGAGAGAGTATTTCACTACACAGTTCAGCCTGGTCTCGAACTCACTTATAGTCCAGGCAGGCCTCAAACTTGAAGAGATCCTCCTGCATCAGCCTCCCAAGTGCTGGGACTACAGGCATGAGCCACCACACCTGGCCAGTTCGAGATTCTTGAACTGGTTTTGCTGTTGCTTTGTTCCATTTCGTTTCTGTTCTTGCCGTGCTAAGTTCAAAGCCGGGGCCTCGCAGTGCCATGCCAGCACTCTACAGCAGAGCTATCCCAGCAT